ACATCAGAGATAATTCTCTTTCACTGCAGTTGATCTCTGCTTATTTTCAGCAAACACATCCTTCCTGCTACTGTACTGCATTTTAAAATTTTATTAAACCTGATTTTCATATTGTGTGTATGTATATGGCTACTTGTATGCACACCAGGTTTATGCGTAAGTCTTCATGCATGATAATGGGTTCTGTGCTTTAAAATGGGTTTTGTTTGCATACAGGAGTAGTGCTGAACAGATACTGGAATTACATATACAGATACAAATTCTGACACGTGATATTTCTGTTCCTTTTAAGTAAAGTTTTAGGTGTGTTCCACAATAAAATTGATTCTGAAGTTTTGTGTACTGCTTGTGAAAAAAAAGGGAAAAAGTAAAACAGGATAGTCCTTTACTTTCTAAAAATTTGGCAGTCTCAGCACTATATGTGAATATAAATTTCTTCTGTTTGTAGATTTACATAATATAAATTGCTGATGTATATGCACCCCAAGGAAATGACCAATGTTAAAATGTTGAAATTAGGTATTTACTGTATAGAAAAAATTGCCATAATTTGTATGAGTTGTTCCATGTTGAATGTTCTTCATTGCATGTTGGGATAAATTCTTTTATTTGCTGTTGCACAAACACCATTTTATATGGTAACATGGTGCTAAAGTTGCATGCTTTCACAGATTTATTTTACATATTTGATTGAGTTGCATCTTCTAATACTGAAACTGCTGACATAGTGAGTAATCTTTGCTATAAGTAGTATTATTTGGTTTCTGGGTTTTGTCTTTTGTATAGATATCTGAACAGAACACGGAATGCTTCTGTTTGAAATACTGTACAACGGACAGTCCAGAATCCTTGTAATACTACTTGTAATATACTGTCATAACCCTTCAGAACAGTGGATCCCACACTTTTTCAGTTTGTAGAATACCTAATCATCATGATGCTCTTTGCAGAACACCATAAACAGTTAATTATTTTTATGATATTTCAACTAGGAACATTATTACCAGCAGAAAACTTTTTCAGTAAACCAGTTTTTAACCATCAGTCTACTGAAAGAGGGGATGATAATAGAACAGTATAATGCATTAAAGTATCAGTATCATATTTTAAGTTGTTGAAGTTGTTAAACATAATTAAATTTACACAGTAATGCCATGATAAAAAAACTCTGGCGTAGAAGATGTACATATATATTTGAATGTACAAAAATTACTCGGTAATGTTGTACCAACTATATCAATGGGTCAGCTGGAAAACAAATTAATGTTAAGCTTTCTTTTAGAGATAATTATTGAACTATGATTAAATATCAGTTGCATACAAAAGTGTCTGTCTATTGGTGGTAGCTGCCACAGATGAAATTAAGTGATTCCAGGATGGATGGATGACTGGGAAAAATATGCAATTGAGAAAATTCTGACCATTAATTTTATTTTTCTGTGAACTGGGAAAGGACCACCATTACTCAGTTTAAGTAGCAGAATGCCTTGGGCCAGCTTGTAGAACACCAGTGTTCCCTGGGATCATAGTTTGGGAACTGCTTTAGAATAATAATTGTCGTCAACAACATTTTATAAAATTGTGCATTTTCATATTTTCACTTAATTTATACATTTTCAAATTTTTGTCACAGCTTTTCCGGATCCTATATCAGATGGTGTTTTTACTGGCAGTTCAAAAGTTTGCATTGTTTGCCATATCTGATACATTGGCAAGGTTTACAAAGGTGACATTTTTATGGCCCCCAATGGTATGACTTACACTGAAATATGTTAGTTTGTTCAGGTGTCAAGATTTTATTCATGTGGGACTCAAAAACAGGATGTAAGGAGCTATGATTAAAATAAACATAATATGCAACTTATGATGCACAGACAGGAAAGAAATACATTGAATAAGAATTACAGCACCAGATTCATTCTGTATTTATTAAAAAACTACAAATAATAAAAAGGCATAAATATGTATCAGGTATTTACAGTGATTTCAGAATTTATTTATATTGTGCCACTAATTGTGTCATTGGCACTTCACAAACATTAGGTCCTTCTCTGTTTTGTGTCATTTTAAGTTAGTCAAAAATACACATAATCTATACTAACAATAATAACGTATAAAATATTACATAAGTATTTCTTAAGTGCAGTTTTACTGCTTATAAATAGTATCAATGATAACTTTGAAGTCAGAAGAATACTAATATGTATGAATGTTGATGGATCTCATTCACTAATGACAGAAGTATTATTAGAACTTCTATTATGGTTCAAAGCCCCATTGTACTTGAATTTCTGTCATTTAAGCTTGTTGATTGCAAAACAAATTTCAATCAAGGATAATACAATTTTCCCCATCCTGGTGGTCTGTGAAGAATTAAATATTGCTTTGTTTTCTTGTACCTTCATTACATTGCACTGCTTACTTTTTCAGTTTGTAATTGTGGTGGTGGGGATGAGAGTTCATAATACTGGAAGTCTATCTCGTCAGAAAATATAGTATCAAATGTGCCGACTTCTGCTTCACTCATGGTTTGCAAAAGTGTGGCTGAATTTAGGTCACTTAGCAGATGGGAAGAATCTATGTCGGGCACTTCCTCAAGTAGACCTGATTCTTCTATGGCTACATCCTTTGACACTGGGTTCAGAAAATCTGAAACAATATTTCTCTTTAGACACTTTTTATAAGTCAATTCTCTATAAGTACATGTAGGAGATTCCCATCACCAGTTCCTAAAGGGTTTCTAGAACTATTCAAATCATATTTTAGTGGTGACCAGTGAAAACTGTCCAGCACCTTACATATTACCGCTAGTTGCTGTATAAGACATACGTGCTGAAGTTTGCATTTGTATGTGCGTACCTGTTTCCTTTGGAGATGTCGTTTCTGTTAGAGGAGTGAGGTATTGTACCTCAACATTCTTTTTGATTCCACTGAGAATCTCTTCAGCAGACTGATCAAGACTGACCCGTTGCTGAGGACTCGAGACTAAGGGCGTATAGATTGAAGTTTCTTGTTCTTCCACACAGTTTTCATCAGTAATAGAAAGCAACACTTCCTTATGAACATCTTGATTTTCCTCATCCTGTATACTGGCTGTGGCTTTTTCAACTTCATCTAATGTTGTAATGTTAGACATGAACTGATGCTGTCTTGTTTCCTACAGATTTAAGACATGTTAATGTGCAAGACAATTCAATTCACATAAACACACAAAAATTGTAATTTAACTGTCCAGCATGTAAGTTCAGACAGAAAATAATGAAAACTTTAATATCTGATGTTAACCTTTTTTGAGATCAAACTTATCTGTACGAGGTGCGATCGGAAAGTTTCAAGACTGCGCCTATAAAAACCCGTACACTTATCTCAGGTATTAAATTCATCCATCACCCTCGAAGTAGTTCCCCTGGGAGTGAACACAAAGATCCCAGCGCCGCTGCCAAGCCTGGAAGCATCCCTGGAAATCTTTCTTTGTCAGCCTGTCAAGCACCATCTGCGATTCTGCCTGAATCTCTTCTATCGTCTCAAATCGCCTTCCCTTTAGCTGAATTTTCATCTTTGAGAAGAGGAAACCTTAGAAAGGAAGTTGGGGTCGGTTCTTGCAAGATCTTTCAGCTCCTGACAAACGAGAAGTCGATTCTGCTTCTGGTCCTCAGACAGGAGCCTTGGCACAAACTTGGCTGCGATGCGTCGCATGTGGAGTTCTTCCTTTAGAATCAGCTGACAGGTCCCATAGCCTATCCCAACAATGTCGCACAAGTCGTTGATGGTACGACGTCGATCTTCGTAACATTTTCGGGCGTTGTGCTCGAAGATGGTCGTCCAGAACGCTCGTCATCATCGACAGAGGTTCGGCCATTTTTAAAACGTGAATGCCACACAAAAGTTGGTGCACGACCCATTGCGGACTCCCCAAATGCTTGCTTGAGCATTTCATAGGTTTCCGTAGCCGTTTAGGCGAGTCTTTGGCAAAATTTGATGCACACGCCATTCCGAAATCGCAGGAGGGTCGGTGTAATGCACTACCAAAACGCCCGTAACTAAGAAACAAATGCTAATTCGATGATGCCGGCTGGCACACTGATTCACTATGAATGTAGGCCGCACCCCCTAGCGGCAGAAGCTCGTACTACATCCGGTTCGCCCTCTATTGACACAATCTTGAAACTTTCCGATCGCAC